AAAACAGCAACGACCCGTTTGGTGTCAAGCGCTGAAACAAAACCTACCGACGGAAGCTGTCGAGCCGCTCTTTGGACTTGCGGCGGAGGAGGAGGAGGAGAGACCGGAAGTGGATCCTGGATGAGGGACATTTTGAAGGAAGGGTTGCGCGACAAGCACGCTCGAGCGGCGGATCGGGAAAAAGTTCAAGGGTCACCCGCAGACGTCGTGGCGGCCAGGGACGCGAACGCGTCGGCGAGGCAGCCCGTGGCGTTGCAGCAGGCGACGGCGCAACGGGCGTCGGTGGCGCGGGCGCATCCGCCGCCGCAGGAGGCGCTGCAGTTGGCCGCGTAGTGCGCGCTCGCCATCTTCCACAACTGACGGGGAAACCAAAAAAAAAGTCACGGCGTCCTCGCCGCTTTCGCAGAGAGACGACGAGGCCGCCTACCTGACACCATTGGCCGGCGGCGCACGGCGTGGCGTTGTGACTGGCGTACGTGGCGTCGCATTGCAAGGAGGAATTGCACGACAATACCGGACAGTAGATCTGCATTTGGGGAGACAAAAGAGGCTGATGATCGGCGCCGGAGTTTGCGAGCGATGCAAAACGGGCGCATGCGTGTGGATCGTGTCGGGGCTTGCCACGTCCATCGGCGGCGTCGTCGTCATCATCATCATCGTCGTCGTCGCACTGGCCGCGGAAGCAAACCGACCGCCGGGGGTGGAGGTCATCCGCGTCATCGCGGGGTGTCCGGAGCCCGCGTTTGGGCTCCGAGTTGTCCCGGTGACGGGGGGCGTGGCTGGGGGAGGTGCCGCATTGTTTAGAGCCCCCCCCCAAAAAAAAAACAGCAACGACCCGTTTGGTGTCAAGCGCTGAAACAAAACCTACCGACGGAAGCTGTCGAGACGCTCTTTGGACTTGCGGCGGTGCTGGCGAGGAGCGCGGCTGCGGAGGAGGAGGGACCGGAAGTGGATCCTGGATGAGGGACATTTTGAAGGAAGGGGGTGTGGCAAACGAGATGAATGACATCAAGCGGCGATGCAAAACATATACCGGCAGATGTGGACATCACGGCGGAGGCGGCGGCGGTGGGGGTCGCAGTCGCAGAGCCGCTCGCCGGCTTCCAGCTCGCGCTGGCCATGGCTCCGGTGGCTGCCAATGGAGGGGGGAGGGGCTTAGACTTGATCGCAAAAAGATTTTTTTTCTCATCATAAATGAAAAAAAAAAAAAAAGGGTTTTTTTCTCATCATATTCGGACTTTTGTTTTTTCAGAACATCTAATCTAAAGTTGCGAGGATCTCGTGATGATTGGAATCGTACGACAAAGGCATTGTTCGTGTTTTTATTGACTTGAATTTTTTTTTTCCCCTTTCCCTTAAAAAATGAAATCATTTTAATCTCATGAAAAATGTGAAAATAGGATGACTCTTGGATGGTAGTTGAAGATAAGATAACCTTTATTTGTCCCACACTGGGGGAAATTTGCAGTCTAATGCGATGGAAAAGTTTTGGGGTTGGAATTTCTCAAGATTTTTTTTGTTTTTATTTTGGGGGGGGGGGTAGAATTAAAAACTAAACTTTTCTGGCAAATGACATTTTTCAGTCTTTTTCCATTGGAATTTAGTTTCTCGAAAACATACTTTATGCCGAGGGATCGTTTACACCCCGGGAAACAACATGAATGACTTCACCCAATCAAACAAAAACGCACCAGTTGACACGGCGGCGGAGGACATCGTCATGACGGTCGACGGCACGCCGGAGCCGCTACTCGGACTCCAGGTGGCGCCGGACGCGGGCGTGGCTGCGGCGGCAGAGGCGGGAGAGATGCTTCCCGTATTCGGAGCGGCGACCGAACCGGCGGCGCTCGTTCCGCCGGCCGCCGCTGTGGAGGGGCCCCGGGTGGCATCGCTCACGGGCGCTCCCGAAGAAGGCGAGGCGGCGGCGGGGGGCGCGCTCGTACCCGCGGCCGTCCAGCTGACCGGAGAAGACCAGGTGGCGCCGGCCGCGCCTCTTGACATCGCGAGGAGGACCAAGAGACCCAAGAAGAGGACGCGCGGTCGCGCCACACCGATCCGGCCTGCGGAAACAGAAAACTCCAAATGAGCTGACCTTTGATTTCGATTTATTCGCAAATCGAATTTGACATTTTTCGGTGACCCGCTGCAACACTGCGCTTCTAGTGGGAAAAAAAAGTACCGGAAGACCGATCTGAGCCCAAAGTAGAAGAAAAGATACCGTGCCGTCATCGGGAGGTGAGCAGGCTCCGCCCCCAACCGCCGGCCGGCCAACGGCGGGGCGCACACAGACCGACGCTCCCGATTCATCCGATCGTTCGATCAAGCTGCCGCGCGCGCTTCGGGAACGAGCGAGGAAACGCGGCAAGTCCGCAACGAGGGAGGCCGGGGCCCGAAATCGAAGCCCCGGACCTCTGCGCCGTGAGGCCGACCGTACTGTACAATGAAAAAAAAAAAAAAGAACAACAACGAGGTCTTAAATATGTCCGCGTATGAAACTTTGAAGCGAAATCCGACTGAACTGTGGCGGAGATTTTGTTGCGCGCCACTAAAGCCGTGCCACGCCCGCTTCTGGGCGTGGCACGGCGCGGCCACCGAGAGCACCCGGAGGCCTTGCGCCGCCCCCCCCCGCAAATCCCACAGCGAGTCCTTTGAAATCAGCCGCAAGATTCAACGTGGACGTGAGCATTTTTCCCTTCAATGAAAGTTTTTTCTCGAAATCGAATCAAAACAAAGACGGTTGCAATTTTGGACGGCGGCGACACCCGCTCTTGGAACAATCTCGCTTTTGACGCGTCGGCTTGCGAAAAACGTTTGCCACAGTCATGCTTCAGTGGTCGTTTTTGATACGCAGTGTTGGAATTCTCCATTTGATGCTAACAGGCGGCACCCGCGGATTGATTGCGCTTTCAAAATCGTCCGTCCACCTTTGTCATCACCACCTAACTCCATTTTTTTTTTTCCGCCCAGTGTCAAAAGTACATATGCTACAATTTCTCGACGGTAGTGATGTCATGAGACAAAGCAGATCCCAGACAAGGTGAAAAGTTCAGGCTTTGTTCAACGGAGCGTTATCCGGTACCTGCGGACATCCGCAACGTGGTGGAGGCCATTGTCGCCGTGGCCGAAGAGGAGCCTGCAAGGACAAACAAACAAACAGGGATGAGCCTCGCGTCGGAGCACGAGAGGCTCTTTCTCCGTCGGCCATCTGAGCAAACGTGAGCTTTGTCATCCTCCCCCTTTGACGACACAATGGCCCCCGTTGTTGAGGGGAACGCCATCTCCTCATTGTTTGCTCTGTGGCGGCGACGGAGACAAAAGAACGGAGAGCGCTGACGATCCCCGACCCCCTTTTGCTATTTTTTTTTTTTTTTGCCCGATTTGTTTTTCGCCGTTTGTCTGGCGACGC